TGGCTCCTCCTGGCCCCACCGTCTTGTCTCCACTCCCTTATTTTCCTCTCTTGATCTGCTTGGTCCCCTCTTGCTTGCCCCTCTGTCTAGCCTTTCTTTCTTGGTTCTCCTCTCTTACTGCCCCCACACTCTATCATCTCTGATGGCCTACTCAGTCTTATGGTCATGTTCACTCTACAACTTTCTCTCCCTGCTTGAGAACCTTCCAGATGCCCCTAGCTGTATTTGCCCTAATATCTACAATAGTAACTTTCCCCTCAATTGTACCATGGAGTAGACATGTCCTCACTTTATACAAAATCGTTTGAATTTGTGAGTTATTCAGATTCATAAATGAGCAGAATAGACATGTCAGCTTCACATTATTATATTTTGTCATTCTTTTATTTAATCTTTTAGTAATTTTTGGTTCTTACTATTTTCCGAATCCTTAAACATGTTGAAAATGGTGATGAGGTTATATAAAAGATGGTCTAGGAAAATAAACATGTGTGCATGTATAGAAAATGCTCCAGAAGCTCCAAAATAAACCACACAATACTCACTGAGAAACTCCCTGGTAATTCCTCAACAGTAATCATGCTTCCTTACCTGTGTTCTGACTTAGATTTCTAAAGGATATGTTATTTGACTTGTTTAAACAACCATTAAATGTTTAAAACTTGCTTTGCTATTTGGCCATTTGAAATAAAAATGTGAATATATAAAACTTTCAGTTTTATGGGAGCTAAAATTTAAAGTAAGAACTTTAAAAGAGAAAATAATTGGCCAACAGCCAACATCAAACCAAATGGAGAGGAACTCAAAGTGGTTCCACTAAAATCAGGAACAAGATAAGGTTGTCCATTCTTTCCTTACATATTCAATGTAGCACTTACATTCTAGCTAGAACAAAAAGAAAACAAAAGATCAATGGGATACATATTGGAGAGAAAGAAGTCAACCTATCATTATTCACATATGATATGACAGAATACATAAGTGACCCTCAAAACACTACTAGGGAACTCTTTCAGCTAATAAACGCATTCAATAATGTGATAGCCCTCCTATATATATATGATAAAGGGGCTGAAAAAGAAATCAGAAAAACATCACCCTTTACAATAGCCACAAATTTAAAATATCTTGGGGTATCACTAACCAAACAATTGAAAGACCTATGTGACCTAAGGAAAGAAATTGAAGAGAATATAAGAAAATGGAAAAATCTCCCATGCTCTTGAATAACTAGGATCAACATAGTAACAATAGTGATCTTACCAAAAGCAATGTACAGATTCAGTGCAATCACCATTAAAATCCCAGCACAATTCTTCTTGGACTTTCAAAGAATAATACTCAAGTTCATATAGAAATACAAAAACCCAATGTAGTAAGATAATCCACCATATCCGCACGTGTGCCCATGCCCCAACATTTACACACGATCCAGATGACGGCTGCAAGTCCCTGCTGCCCTCTGTGACCCAATAGAGAGCAACAGAGAAAGCTGGGGTCAGAGACTCTAGACCTCACCTCCCACAGGTCACATCCTCATCTGTGCCCATGCCCCAATGGGTGTGGTCAGTGAAACAGGTGTGGTCGAGGTGGATATCTCACTACAACCCAGAATAGCTAAAAGAATCCTGCACAATAAAGGAACTTCTAGAGGCATTAGCATCCTTGACTTCAGACTCTACTATAGAGCTATAATAATAAAAACAGTTTGGTATTGTCATAAAAAGAGACAGGTAGCACAAGAGACCACTTCCCAAATAGCACAGACACTGAAAGCAACAATAAATAAATAGAACCTCCTGAAACAGACGATTCTGGAAGTCAAAGGACAGGGTGAGTAAGACAAAATGGCAGCCCGGAGAATGAGAAAAGATCTTTACTCCACATCTGACAGGGGGCTTATCTCAAAATTTTATGAAGAACTCGAGAAACCAGACATCAAAACACAAATTAACCCAATTAAATAATGGGTTTCAGAGCTAAACAGAGAATTCTCACCAGAACAATCTCAAATGGCCAAAAGTCATTTAAGAAAACTGCTAAAAATCCTAAATCATTAGGAAAATGCAAATTAAAATTACTCTGAGATACTATCTTACACATTCCAGAATAGCTAACATCAAAAATACTGAGGACCACTTATGTTGGAAAGGATATGGAGTCAGGAGAACACTCCTCCACGCTGTGGGAGTGCACACTTGTACCATCATTTTGGAAATCTTTATGACAGTTTCTCAGAAAATTGGGAATCATTCTACCTCAAGATTCATTGATAGCATTCTTGAACATTTATGCAAAGGCTGCTCAATTATACCACAAAGATATTTGATCAGTATTGTTCATACCAGCTTTACTCATAACAGCCAGAACCTGGAAACAATGTAGATGTCCCTCAATCAAAGAATGGATATGGAAAATATAGTAAATTTATACAATGCAATAGAGTATTACTCAGTAGATAAAAAATTGATGATTGCATGAAATTTGAGGTCAAATGGATGGAAATAAAGGAAACCATCCTGAGTGAGATAACCCACTCTGGGAAAGACAAAAAAGGTATGTATTCACTCATAAGTGGATATTATATGTAAAGCAAATGATAACCAGCTCCATACAATCTAGGTAACAAGAAGGACATAGGAAGGGTAACTGGAAAAAATCTGTGGGGCAAACTGGAAGTAGGAAGGGGGTAAGGAGAAGGGAAGGGAGTATGAGAACAGGAGGGAAAGAGATGACTAAGGCAGGGAGGGATAGAGCGGAAGAGCAATGAAAGAGATCTCTCTCTCTTTCTTTCTCTCTCTCTCTTTAAACAGGTAAGCCACAGCCTGGTGGAAATACACAGTTTATGTATTTACTTATTTTAATTTATTTAATTAGAAACAATCCTATTTTACATATTTTAACAGAGAGAGCCACTATGGGCTTTGGCAGAAATGTGATGCTAGTATAACTTCCAAGAATCCACAAGGTGTATGTACCCCACCTAATATTTCTAACAGTAGCAGAGAGGATGCCTACCCCTATAATCAGATGAATAAATACCCAAATGATCTCCATAGAGTATTCATCCTATAATTGATGGAAGCAGATGCAGAAATCCACAATCAAGAACCAGGCCATTGAGAATCCAAGCAAAGAGAGGGGGGAGAGAATATATGAGCAAGAAAAGTCAAGATCTTGATGAAGAAATATATAAAGATAGCTGAACCAAGCTTGTGGAAACTCATGAACTCTAGACCTACAACTGTGGAAACTCCAGGGGCCTGAACCAGGCCCTCTGTGGATGGGAGACAGTTGGGAACCCCTACCCGTGAGGAGAGATAGTGGGAAGGTGAGGATGGATGGGAGGAGGCGAGCAGGAAATAGGAAGGAAGAGTAGGAAGGAGAACTGTGTTTGGAATGTAAAATGAAATACAAAACTGGAAACAAATTCATAAAAATTGATATTCCTTAGTAGGGAAAACTTTAGCAAATGCAATTCTCATATAATATAAAATATAAAGCAGTTTAATTTTTTTGTTCATAATTTTTTTCAAGACAGGATTTCTTTGTGTAGCCCTGACTGTCCTAGAGCTCACTCTGTAGACTTTGCCGGCTTCAAACTCTCAGAGGTATATGTCTTCTACCTCCTGAGTGCTGGGAATAAAGATGTGTATCACCACCACCTTATTGCAATTTAACTTTTTTAATGGTTAGTCAAACACTACCATAGGAGCACAAGTTTAAAGAAATAAAAGGTAGAAAACAGAACATCTCATTAAAGGAGAAACATTCTTATGAGTGTAATGTTTCACATGTCACAAGTAAACTGAATAATGCACTCAAACTATATGCTTTACTCTAGATAGATTCCAAAAACATGATTCTTAAAAGAAGCCATATTTATTGAAATGTTGCAGTAAAATACCACTTATGTATATTAAGCAACATAAAATAAAATTTTATTGCTTGAAGAACATTATCTGTAGAAAGATAATTTCTAAAAATTGGATTTGGAAACACACCAAGTTTATATGATTGCTCATCATAATCAAAGAGTGGGAAGCTTTCACCTTAAATCAGCACATCTTATTCATTTTGATATGAAAAATAATTGAAACAAACATAACAATAAACAAGTGCCAGGGTTATGTTTTGAAAGTGTTTATTTTCAATTATTTGAAGATCCCAAATAAAATATATCTGGGGTGAAATATTAAATTATTTCAATTTATTCTCATATCAAATTAATTGCACTCTCATAGTTTGATACTCATAAAGTTTTAGTGGAATCTTGAGAAGATTTTTTATTATTTATTTTCACTAAAATTTGTTGCGTTTCCAAATCCAATTTTTATAAATTAGGTTCATATGTGCTAAAATATTTTTATCAAATTACTGGGTGGATAATGATGGGCCACCCCAATTTTCTCTGCCTGCATGGGATTTATTATCTCCTGTGGGAGGTGACACTTAATGAGTTCAAAATGAGGCTGGGTTCAGGAGACAGAAATGTATAGCACTTTCCAAAAAGGACATAAATATAAATAGAGTTCAGATTTTATTATATGAATTTAATTTCAGGGTTCTTATATTCTTAATTCAATGATGAAAAAAATGAACTATGTTTTCTTATTCTTTTTCTTTCTTTTTTTCTTTCATTCTTTATTCCTTTCTTTCAAAAAATCAGAATCATTTTGAAAACATTTGGATTTGCAATGCCATGCAGACTGGAGAACTTTAACATTTACTCTTCTGTGTTTTAAGCAGTTATACCACAGAAGGATCAAAACTGTGGAAACTGGCAAACCTACTTATTTCTTGGTTAACTCAGATTTCTTACCCACTTTATTAACCTTTAAGCAAAGGTTTATGTTACAATTACTTATACTTAAAACTGGGTGGAATGACTCATAACTTCTTAAAAAGTGAATCAATAAAAGGGTGACAGGGGCTCATATATTACACTATCAAATCAAGTCATTGCAAATGACAAGAGGGAAGAATTAGAGAACACTTACTGGTAAGTAGTTGGGCTGACATTGATGCGCCGAGGATGACTTCCAGATTCAAATTTGCTTGCAAGAGTAACATTATTTCCAAAAAGACAGTATCTTGGCATTCTCACTCCAACCACACCAGCTAGCACAGATCCTGAGTGAATGCCTATCCGCATCTGGAAAAAGAAAAAGGAAATGGAGAATAAACAGTTGTTCCTATTTTACATGCACTTGTCAAATCAATAAATAAAAAAAAAGTTATAGTAATTGCCTTTTGTTTGTCTATCTAGATCACTTTCCAAGTAAATGGTCTAGACTGTGGAAGTAGCTCTTCTTCTTTAACTAAGGACCAGGCTCCTCCTCCATGTTTCTGCACAGTTAGGGACATCCTCATTGTTCCAACTCATAGGACATAAGGAAATGACAGCAAAAGTCAAAGACATTTTTCAGCTTTATAAAGAATCCCCACTCAGTTACCATTTAGGGGAATTTCTATTTCTTTGTGTAGGTTCAAACTACCACTTCATACCATTTTCCTTTTACCCAGTAGGTATATTTGCCAGTGTTACTTCTTAGGATTTGGACAATGTATTTGTTTAGACTGTATGTTAAAAAGTGTCAGTAGTTTGTCTTTACAACAGAAGGTTAATTTTACTGGCTGTAGTGTTCTAGACTGAAGGCTGGGGATGAAATGCAATTGTAGAATGACAACATAGACCAGAGTTGTATCTCTAACACTGAACACAAAGGAAGAGAGAAAGAAGGGAATAAGGAAGGAAGGAAGGAAGGAAGGAAGAAAGGAGGGAGGAAAGAAAGAAAGGAAGGGAGGATGAAAGAAAGAACAGAAGGAAGATTTTAGGTTAAAATCCTCCCTTGTCAGTACTTTAAGGATGTTTCTCCCTAGTAATTCTCTTGCATTGTTTTTTTTTTGTTTTTTAATATTTTTAAAAATCACATTTAACATTTTTTGGGGGGTGACACACACATGTAGAGGTCAGAGAACATCTTTCTGGGGTCAGTTCTTTCATTCCATTGTGTGAGTCCCAGAGATGGAACACAGGTCATCAGGCTTGGCAGCAAACACCTTTACCTGCTGGGCTGGTGCTGATCCCTTACATTGTTTCTGAAAGAAAACCAGCTATTGTACTTAATTTAATTGTTCTGAACATAACATATATGTATTCTTTGGATTATTTTAAGTACTTTTATTTTGATAATTTTAAATAATTTAGTTTTTATTTCCTTTGGTATAATTTTTATTGTTCTTGATTCTTGGGGCTTAATGTGCCCTTCAATCTACCAGTATATACTTTCCATTAATTTAGAAAATTTTCAAAGCTAATGTTTTCTGCCGAATTTTCCTTTATCGAGGTTCTACTTGCATGTATGTTTAGATGCTTGCAATTTTTAAAAAGATCCCTGATGACCTATTCTTTTAAGAGGATATTCTCTCCATTTATATTGGATTTTTACTACTGTCTACAAATTGGCTTATCTTTCCCTTTTGCAAATCTTTTTAAAACCTAATGTGCTCTCAATGCCAGAAACTAATTTTTTTTCTGTCTACAAGTTTGGAATATTTTCTTTTCCTATTCTAGATGTCAACATAAATTTTAAGCATATGTACTGTACTTTGAACTATTTTGAATGGTATATTCTGCCTGCATTTGCTTGAGTTCTACATCTGTCACTTTGATGGATTGACCGGGTCATTCAGAGGAATCATTACACTTTCTCCATTATTAGACACATTTTATTAGGCACCAGACATCATGAACTGACCTTGTTGAATGCTGGATTTTTGTTCTAGAATGTAATTAAATGATTTAGATCCTGCTTCTTTGTAGTCTTGCTTTAAGATTTATAGAAAAGCCTGGGGCAGTGTTTCAAGAAGGCTTAGTTATTCACCCACAACTAAGGCAATAGCATTCTAAGTGCTATCCCCTATACAGGGAATTTATGGTCCTTTGAAGGTTGCCAGGCATGGGCTGTGGATGAAGTCCTGAGTAAATGTGTTTTGTTGACATGAATACATCTAAGACAAGGACTCTTGTCATTGGAATGGCTATGCCTTCATCAGATCACATTAAAGTAAATGTCAAAACTTCTCCTTGTCCCTGTAAAAATGTTGACAGAGTATGCAGAAGACATCTATGTTGCTTCTCTCTCTCTCTCTCTCTCTCTCTCTCTCTCTCTCTCTCTCTCTCTCTCTCTGTGTCTGTGTGTGTGTGTGTGCGCGAGCGCGCAGGAAAATAATACTTCAAGGACAGTACATAAATTTGAAAGGAAGTAGGAAGACATGGGAGGAGCTGGAGGAGGAAAGAAGTGTTGGAAATAGTATAAAAGTAGTATTCATATATAAAATTCTTTAAAAAAAATTACAAATCAGATACTTTCCCCCCATCTCTCTGGCTGTTCTCTTCTCTCTCCCTTAATGCCAAAGGTTGTTTCTTCACATGTACTAGTTAGTTCTTTTCTGAATATTTGTGGAAGACACTGGGGAAATCTTTGGTATTCTCTGTGCAATCCTTGACTTCAGTATTCTGAATGTTACCTCTAGCCTGCCTGGTCTGCACAGATGCTCAGTTACATGTTTTTATAGTAGGAATATGTTCCCCATTCATCCCTCTCTGGACCTTCAATTAGGAAGCTCAACCAGCACAATACCCATCTCATGTGTTCTCTCATTCCCAGTGCTTAGGGTACAATGTTACACAGTTTCTTCCCCAGGGTTTTCATGTTATATAAAAAGGGAGTGGTAACGCTGCCTCTGTGCTCCACATTGGCTGCATTTATAAGTGAGCTGATTATTAAAAAACAAACTCTGAAAAATATACACCCACTTTTGATGAAATGTGTTTGATATATCTTTAAAGGGTGGGGGGAATGAGTGGCAAATGTTCCTACCAACAAGATGAATAAATGTAGAGCATCATTTCTAAACTTAGCAATATTTTCAGTCTCTTCCTCCTTCCTCTTTTTCCTCCTCTCCCTTACTAACTTCCTAAGAGGCTACTTTTATTTTTACATTATAAAATCCACACGTCTTCAAGTGACACTCAGTCCTTACAACTGAACCAATAATCACAGTGTGATTGTTTTAAGTGGAGATGGGAAGGTATGAATCTAATATTAGTAAATTTTTATAACTTTATCATTCTAAAACATCTATTGAACAAAATCACTTCAGCCACCACAACTTCAGTGAAGGCCATGTAGTTCTTCCTTTCAAAAAATCTGCTGCTGTTTAAATGGGTTTTGAGAGGAATTATTGTCCAAGAATGATGATGGTAAAATAAGGGGCATTCTTGGAGTTGGGGTAGAGGAAAGAATGGCCATTTAAAAACAAATCCCTTAGTAGACTAAATTAGCACTAAAATATACCCACATCCCCAGACACACACACACACACACACACACACACACACACACACATCACTGCAGAGATCTGTCTTTGTGTTATAACAGAAAAAGATCATTGAATTATCTAGGCTGGGAAGTATTGGGAAGTTCTAAAAAGACAGAACTGGGAAATTAGAACTGTACATTCCTTTGCTTGTCTTTTAAGGATTTTCAGAGGTTTCCCCAGAATTGGTGTCCTATATTTATGGAAAGCACTAATTACCACATTCAAGATGTGCCAAGAACATCTGCCAGGGAAACAAAATGAAGAGAGGCATTTAATATCAGCTCTGAAAGACTTTAGATATATATGAATGTGCTAAGCAAACTATAACAATCACATTCAGTCAGCCAACATATTGTAGGGAAAGAAGGTTCCTTTATATTAGGCCAATAACTCTCAATGACGGCCATTACTGTTCCTCACTGGACAGTTAGCGTTATTGCCAAATTTCCAGTTTTTATATGTGATGGGGTGTTGCTACTAGCATTATCTGATAGTACTAGACATTAAAAGGAAGGCCTCATACTCCTTTGAAGAATCATCTAGAACAATAAGTTGAGAAAAACTGCTCTAAACACTCTTGCAAAGACTCAGAAAAACATCAGACCAAAGTTTGACAAAACGTGGAAGACTTCAAATTTAAGGAAAAGTTCATAAAACAGTATCTGTCACTAAGGTTTATTTTAAAATACATTAGCTTCAGGATTTATAGCTGAATTCAGAATCCCCACTACCCCGCACTCTTATGTCAAGCTGTCAATGGATTAAATTAGTCACACAATTTAAATGTACATGTATTTTGAAGATTCTGTGACTTCTGCTTGCTTCCTATATGTGCAAGGGAGAAGTAAGAAAGAACCTCTCTGGCTCTATGCTGGTTGTCCTCTTATGAGCGAGTTTAGCCTTTAGTCTTAATGGTGTCATACCTTACACACCCAATCAATATGTTTAGACAAATAACACTTTGGCAAAATAACTTTCTGTGTTTACTCTAAGAGTCACACAGTACAACTCACAGACAGCTGCACTTTATAGAAAGTACATTACCAAATAATTATTCTCCTCATTCTTCTGGTAATTTAAGATGTGCTTATAGCCAGTAGGGAAATGACCCATGATAAGACAAGAATGAAACTAGGATCACCCTGATTTCAGCATGGTGTTGGGACAGGACTTGTAGAGTCTGACATCAATTCATATATTTTTGCTGATAATAAGCACTGCACAATTTTGGAAAAAAATATTTCAGATAACAATTAATAGTCACATGAATAAAACGAATCTTAAAACATGTTTACATTGAAACTCTTTAGAAAGTACATATGCCTTCTTCCTCAAGATGAATTCTTACTGATTTAGAAATAAACTTCAAAATAAGATTCTAAGGAGAATGACTGAGGTAAGCATTAATACCTGACTCTATGATAACATAAAAGGCACTCAGGCTGCTCTGAAGTAAAGATGCCGTCTCTCACAAGGATGACTTGTATGGCTTAGAAGCAATGCTCAAAGTTATAGGTGGGTAGGTCTGGGTAAACAAATCGTATTCTGGGCAATATGGGAAGATCCTGAGACAGCATGTAGCAAAGGATTACTAGGTTGTAAACTCCATTTTCCTCCAGCATTCCAGGAGACCAGAAAAGTGTCTTTTCCATTAGGAGAGTTCAGCTCTGAATTTAAGTTTTCCTGGCTTCTCCAATGCTTATCTCTGTGCACAAGCACTTATTTTTTTTTTCTGTAAAGTATTATAAAAATCATATAGAGTGAAAT